CCAAAAGTTATTGCTTTGAAAGTATTTTGATGCGGATTTGTAATATTTATAGCCAAAATAAAATTTTTCTTTTTTTGCACTGTAAAGAGCTAGGTTCACTTTATGAATAAAATGGCCCTGTAGATATACCAATTTATTGACTAACACATTATGTTCCATTTTAAACATCAAGATAAAGTAGAGACTTAGTACTTTCATTTCCTATTAAAAATTTTCTTCTGAAAGACAAGGTCTTGGAAAACAGGCTTCATGGAATTTCAATGCTCTTGAATTTTAAGTAAAACAAGTATATTTGAGTACTTTCACAGAAGAGAAATAATACGAGCGCACCCTCTGATCTAAAATATAAAACATGTTTTGTAATCCTCAGAAATAGTTCTATCATTTAAAAGTTGCATAATTTAGATCAGAGGTTGCGCTCTATATTAAATATAGAAAAATAGCTTTAAAAATTGGCTGTTTTTGTAGAATTTTTCAGGACATGAGGAAAATGACGCATTTCATGACGTCATAATGCATTGACTAGCCAGAAAATTACGTCATTTTTTATAGATACGCAGTCACCTAAGATCTAAATGATATTTAATGCATTGTCAACTAAAACCAAGCAATTTCAGTTTGTGTGAAATTCACAGGGCCAAAAAAGGCCCTAAGTGAACCTTGTTCTTTATATCCCATTGGGGATATTATATCCCAGAAAGGTTATTAGAGAGGTTGAGATTTTAAACTTGTACGCGTACGTGTACATGTGCACAAATTTTTACGTACACGTACACATTTTTTGTAATTTGTCTGTTGAGATTTAATGACGTGTAACATGAACGTGTAGACTGTAATCGGTGTCTCTGTTTCAACTATTTAGTAGTTTTGTGACATTAGTTTGACTTCAGTTAGTGAACAAAACACGGTTAAAATAAGTGTTCATGAAACTTAACATCCTAAATAATTAACAACAATAACAGTTTCACACATAAATTGACTAGTTTTTATTGAAAAAGCTACAAGTTTACACCTACGTGTATATGTAGATGCCTTTTACAAGTTGTAGGAACGTGTAGAAAACTTATCAACACCAAAACTGATGACGTAATATGCAAAAAATTTAGGGAATTCCCCCACTACATGTACCGGTACACGTACACGTATGAAATCTCAACCTCTCTATTATATCCCATTTGGGCGATTGTTCCCAACTTGTTGATGTTTTGTCATGTCATTCGACAAGGCACTTTTTATCTGCATTGTCTCAGTCCACCAAGCTGTAATGGGTATGTGTGCTGGCTTAGGCTGGGGGTTATCCTGTGATGGACTGGTGTCCCAGGTAGACAACTGGGTGCAAGTGAAAACGGCACTTGGTGAAAACGGCACTTTGGAAATATGCAAAATGGCTCTTCCAATTATATGGAAAACGGCACTTCTGGATATGCAAAATGGCACTTAATTTTTTTCTTTTGAGAATTTGATAAATGGCCATTGAGAATACAGAAAAATACTGCACAGAGCTTACCACAGGTAGCACAGTGGATCTAGAGTGCATGACCACAAGGTGATAATTAACTGTGGTGCCAGTGAAAGCTCAGGGGAGGAACAATTGCAACCTCAGCATTGCAAGAATTTACGACTTCTTACCGCAACATATCTTCTTGATGTATGGTGCTCATTACTGTGACATATTTAAATTTTGATAGGATAAAATTTCAAATTCAAAATTTTCTTTCAACTTTTGGTGATGCATTGAAAAGTCATAGTAGCCACTGCATTAGACAGATAGTTCTTGATTATTTATTAAACTACATTTAGATGGAAGAAGCATTTTCAGAGTTATGCATATATACCTTAAAATGTTGTGGTAATGTATGCTATTTTTGTCATGGTAATGAGTACCTGGTAATGACTATTTTGAATATCTTGTATGGAAATGCAATGCACCCACAGCGGTACTTATGTCAAATATAAAAAAGATCTTATAACATATTGGTTTACATTATTATCAAACAACTGCAACTTGCCGATCACCTATAGAGTCAGAATTTTTTGTGGATATTAGACACAAATGTTAATTACTCAAAAATTAGTTTAATTATTACAGAACATTGAATAGATGGGGAATAATACAGTGTTTTTTTTTTTTACCCCCCCCTTTTTTTTTGCAAAGAAATGTGTCTGCTTCTGTTGAATTGTCCATTGCTTTTTAAAAACACATTTTCTTGGCTGTTTGCTACATCTATTATACTTGTAGAACCATTTACGTATATACATGTACATCTGAGTGGTTGCATGAAATTTTCGAAACTAAGGCCACATAAATTTAAAATTTAGATTCTCATCCTAATTTCTTGAAAAATTGGGGCGGGTGGGCGGATTTTATTTTTTATTTTTTATAATTGAAAGTATCAACAAAACACTCTTCGTACACAAAATCTTTACATTATGTTAATGCCAATATGAATAGATTTTATTGTTTTCATATCCTTTAAATGTCTACAGAAGATTCTTGTTATAAAAAATTAAAATATTTATAGTTCTATTAACAAATTATCAAGTAAACAGATACGGCACATGCCAAACAAAATCATATGTCATATTTGCAAAATCTGTAAAATATTAGACTGAAAGCCTAGGCCTGAACATTTTTAAGATTTAACATTTCCTTTGCACTATTATTCTCTAAAGTCTGCCGACGATGTCTTTTTTTAAAATGCAAAATCACATACAAGTACAACAGGAGATCGTTAAAACTTGTCCAGGTGTCATTTTCTTCGTCTGTTTTTACTTGGTTGAAATCTCTTTAAAAACTTGCTCATGTCTTTATGTTATTTTTGCTTCTCTGTCTTCTCTTTACTGACAAATTATCTTTTCCTTTCGTACTTAAACTGCTTTTATTGCCGATTTTTCTCCATTGTTCACATGGCTTTTTGCTATAAATAGCGCCACGCGACTTTTAATACAGACGTAAGATAACTCTTAACTTTTGACCCAAATTCTTGCTGAATAAAAATACATGAAAATACTTTTGACACCCAAAAATCAAAATATAAAACAACGGAGCGGGGCACTTTGAGAGGGGCGGGCGGGGGTGAGAATCTAAAGATTAATTTTACCTGGCCTAATTATTAAATGTTGAAAATTATTTTCTACTTTGCATTAATTTGTTTCACAACAAATCTCTATATTCTCACTATAAAGAAAATATTATTATAAATATGAATTTCAACCCCCCTCCCCCCTCTTTAAGTGGGCAATGCATTACACCTTTGAAGCACTATCACTTTAACACAACTTTTGCACCAGCCTGTATTTTTCTGGCAAAATTGTTACCACGGTAACATGGTATATTTGGTTCATCATGTACAAAGTTTTTTTTTTAAAGAAAAAAAAAGATTGTATTTCTTCCAATAGGCATATTTGAAAAGCAAAAAGTGTCTTTTTTGAAAAGAAACTTTTAAAGATGATTTTATAAGTTGGTGCCATGTTGAGTGAGTTGCTGAAGTTTTTGGAGATTGTGCTCACTTCCTGTTCCTGTGAAACATGACCACTGCCTACCTGTTGTGTTGTGTCGGCTGCAGATACAGATTCAAGAATTCTCCCTATCAGAACAGCTGTAGCAGCACTTATCTGGTACATTATTAATGTATAACATACAACAGGGAGAACCTTTATAATGTCTGTAAACCTTTATTGTAAATAATCTAGTTGTGATTGGAGTCTCTGCTCATATGCCTGTTGTTATGAATTTTGAATGACGTATCTTCACTTGCCTTGGGAGAGAAGTAAATTAAGATATATCTGTACATTTTGAAAGAAGAGGTTTTCTGCATTATTTATGAGAGTAAATAGTTCTTTTCCTATCCAGAAACATTAAAAGATTGCTAAAGAATTTCAGTGTGTTTTTTACATGAAGAATAAACTGGAATTTTCTAGGAAAAAAAAAAAACATAATGTGAATCCCAAATTATGTTCTCTTTATCTGTTCTCGAGGACCAAAATCACAGTAATTTTTCCTATCTGTTACAAAGGACAACCATGTGTCCTTATAAATATATGATTCATCAACAACACAGTTCCCTTGTGTAAATCAAACTTTGATCTTCACATTGACTACACTGGTTTAATTGTATACATGTATCTACCCTTTCCATGCCAAAGTGTCTTCAGTAACATTTTTAAACTGACACAAAAAATTTTCAGTTTTCAAATTTTCTTTAGAGTAAGTTTGTTGCCAACAGAAAAGCAAATATGATTAAAGTATTGAATGGCTAAATACAACGGAGGCATAAATATTTGACTTTGTACAAATGTAAGAAGGGAGGAACTTGAATGATAAGGATGAAAGGGCAATAGGATAAGTTGGATCTCCAACAGCTAATCAATTTTAAACAGAATATATATCAGTAAATACTTGGACAAGAAATATTGGAAATCTTTTATTTTCTCTCATTGATTTTTTTAAGGGCCCTGCTCTACTCAATGTGTACATTTTATCAATTTTTTTGCTCCTAAGCATTGAATGTTAAATAATTCTAAAAGAATAGAAGTAAGACTCGGTGCTTAACCAATTGAAGTCCTTAAGAGATACTTAAAAGACTTTAAAAACTTCTGCATTGGTGTATTGTATTTCTTGTGAGGGTCATTTTATGACCTGTTTTAAATATTGAATAGCACTGTGGTTTGACTCTCATACACAAACAGTAACGGTCTTATCTTATATCTCGCTACAAATTTAAATTCATTCTGCAGGTATTAACGTTACCTGTCACACTTGGCCATTCAACAATCGTCTTTGATAAGTGACTATCTAAATTAATTTACATTGTTATTTTTATTTATCAAAGATTATATATACCAATTGTAATTTTGGAAAGAAAATCCTGCATGTAGCAAAGAGCAAACCTTTGTTTGTGGAAAAAAAACAACATTCGGTCAAAGACCGCCTCAAACATTTTAGCATTTTTAATATGGATGTGTTAATAGGGATTAAACATTTGGATCAATCAATATATTAAATGAACTCAACTGAAAGCAAGTGGATCTATTTATTGAATGTTTGTGAAGGTCAAATGCCTTAATCTGTTGGTGTTTTATTCCGTTGTTCCCTAAGTATATACAGTGCAGTAGACTGTTAATCTATATAGGATAGATATATATTTGTTTTGTGTTGTTAATGAAGAGGATTGCCTATTAACATGCAGGTGACATAATTCTCTATCACCAGTAATAATGGGATTTGAAAATCAAGACCAGGTGAGAGAGAGAGATTCTAAGTTACTGAATTTATTCATGAAAATTTTTTTTTGAAAAGTCCTTTTGTACAGAATTATACAATCCACAGTGACTGTTGCTTTTATGTACTTGTTGATGTTAGTTGTAAATAGAGAGAGAGAGAGAAAGAGAGGGAGTCATGAAGAAACCTATATATATAACTGAATGTTTCATATACTACTTTAGTGTATGCGTATTCTTGAGATAACATCAAGTTATGACAGTTTTGTATCTTAAAATACAGTCACATCCTATACTAGTTATGTTGAGCATGGGAATATCTGATTTACAAAATTTCATCTATGGACATATAGTCACTATAGTCAAATCTTGGTGTCTCGAACAGGCTGTCTCAAACATATAAGACTTAAAAAAAAAGAAAAACACCGACTGAGATATATGGGGTTTCAAAATATTGGAATTACCAGTACTTATAAGGCTCAAATTCATCTGAAGGTTTGGTTTAATTGCCATTTCACTTCAACATACTGTAAAATCACATATTTTCGTGGAGTCAGATTTTCGTGGTTTAAGGAAAAAAATATTGATTCAAGTAGATTTTGAAGAAATGCTGAGTTATTCTTTATTTAAAATTTTACACTTTGTGGAGGGTGTGAATTCATGGGACTCTTCATACCACAAAAACAACAAAAATCCCCACTAAAATTACATTGTTTTCAATATGTCAATGTTTGAGATGTCAAAGAATTGCATTTTGATTTTGAGAACACACACTTCTCCATGGCTGTGTTATTTAGGAGCATATACTATATTTACACAACTTTTGAAAAGAGATTTTGAGCAAAGAGATGCAAGAATTAAAAAAATATATAAATATTTCAATCTCTTTTCAGATATCTGGAAATGACTTGACATCAACGGGGCCAGAGAGGGCCCCAAATCAATCAGTAAGTTGAGAGATATAAAAAGTACAAGGTTACAACAAATCTAGGGATATGTTTGCATATGTGTTCACACTTAGTTTTATCTAATTAATATTTCATAAATATTTGTGTTTGCCAAGAAATATAACTTTGTTATGGGTAGGTACTTAGAGTGCTGTCGATCAACAAGTACTGTAAAACAGGCAAAGGAATGTGCATGCATTAATAGTTTCATGTTCATTCCAGCTTTAATAACTGGATTATTATTTTTTTGTATTTCTGGATAAAGAAGTCAGTGACACTCTAGTTATTCAGTTGAGCAATAATATCATGGACTGGAAACCAATTATTTGATTTTTTTTAATGACATCCCTGGCAGTATAGGTATAAATTTAAGACTATATTCGTTAATGACCAATATTTGCCCCCAAAATCAGATGTTGACAGAGAAATCTAAAATTACGTCCTAAACCAGGGGGATATCTGCAGATTTCAAAGTATTAAGCATTTTCATCAGCCATGATGCCGTATGTTAGATATGATGTCAGGAAAATGACCTAAATTCAAAATTTCCGTGAATTATAGAGAAAAGGGTGTATATTACGTAGATATTTTGAGGAAAAGTCACTACATGAGCACAGTTCTGCTCCAACTCAATGTTTTGATATGATGTGTAGAATGATAATATCAATGAAATATGTGAATATTGTCATGGAGCAGGTAAAATAAAACATATGGTAAAAATGGAATAATTTTTGTCCATTTTGTCCTCTTTTTGAAAAATAAAGCAAAATTGAAATAGTTTGTGACATCATAGAAACAAAAATTTGCCAATAGCCTACTTCAAAACTATAATATTTTTTGTTAATTCAGATTTTTCATACAATATATTCAATTCAGCACATTTCAAGAAATTTTCAAAATTTGACTTTTGTGGGGGCAAAAATGTGCATATATCTCATATAGTTCTTTAGAGCATAGAATGTAGTACTAATAAGATTCTTGTAGTTTACTTAAGGAGATGGGTTTGTTTTGTTTAAGACGAATAAAATATTTCCTGTAGATGGATGAGAGCACCGGTGAAAATATAAGGAAAGATGAGCAAGATCTCAAGAGGTCGGATGTTGTCACGCAGATGCATGCCGCCGCAGTCAATGGTGACAAAGCTCAGCTGGCCAAAATCATTGTCTGTGAGTTGTAGCTTTATCTAGTTGATAGAGATGCATTTAAAAAATGATAGATGACAATTAATTTAAAATTAAAGAATTTATTTTTTAAAAAACATGGACATGTTAAAAAAAAAAATTAAAAAAAATATTATTGTTTGTCATACATTCATTCTTTTGTCATCCCCATAATAGGAAAATGCAACGATTGCTATGTCATTCCATGAAGTCTTTGTCTAACTTTTATTTATGATTTTTACTTGACTCAGATTTGTTTCTCTTTTACAGCTAGTGGACAGGATATTGACCATGGGGACCAGTTTGGGAGAACCCCCTTAATGTTCACTATCCTTGCTGACAGACTGGAGTGTGCAGAACTTCTGCTGAGGGCTGGAGCAAATGTAAATTGCAAGGATAAAGGTGGCCGCACTGCCCTTCACTGGGCAGCTCATAAGGTTAGTCTCAGTGATGCATGGAATGTTAAGCAGAAATAAACATGATAATTTTCCATGATAAAAGTATCCAATTGTGATCTACTGGTAGATTTTGATTGTTCTTGAATGAACATCAATATCTTGAATACCATGGATATGTCATAATGAGTAAGTTCATCCAACCACTTGTCTTTATATATTTTAATCCCAATGTCTCAAATACTTGGATATCACAAAGATTTTTGTAGGCTTCATTAAGTTCTAGATAATGAGTTTGACTGTACATACTCCACCTTAATATGAACCTTTTTACAGGGTAACCTGCGAATGTTGAAATTACTCCTGGCTAAGGGGGCTAGCATAAGAGACAAGGACAACGAAGGTCAAACAGCTGTACATCTCTGTACCCGGCATAAGTCACCTAAATGCATGGCTCTGTTGCTACGGCAACTGTCACCAGGGGAAATTGATGACCAAGACAGAAATAAGGTACAAATTGCAGAACAGAATTACTGTATTTACCCTAATAAGTGCACAAGGGCTTTGAAAATGGTGTAAAAGAAGTGCTTACTAGATATGCCTCCTGCTTAATTGACAGAGATTGGCATTTATGGGACATAGATTTTTGATAAAGAAAAATATGTTGTAATGTTTAAAGCAAAAACCAAAAAAAAAAAGTGATCTTTTAATTTACTACATTCTTGTAAACAAAGAAATTGAGTTGTAGACTGGAAAGTAAAAATATATTTAATCCATCTGATTGTTTTCCACAGAGAACAGCACTCCACTGGGCAGCATCATATGGCAATATGGAACATGTGAAGATGTTGATAAAGCAGGTAAGTCACATGAACAATGTATATATAAGCCTTACTAGCATTCATTCATATTCATATTAAAGGATTTTAATTCTGTTTTTTAAGAAGAACATGGTAAAGTTATGAACTTTCCTTTTTTTCAGCTAAAACTATTCCTTTAGAATTCATGTTGGTCCCTGCTTTCATTGTCTTACTGTCACTAAAATTAGGATATATATACTGTGCACTTTTTGGTTTTATTTTGAGTAAAAGTGATTGATCGCTGTTATTAGCATATTATTTTTGTAGGATTCTAACATTGGTATTCCTGATGTTGAGGGGAAAACACCACTCCACTGGGCTGCAAGTAGCAGGGATTCAGAGGCAGTCAACTGTGTCAAAACAATACTTGTAAGTCCTCCTGGCATATATTCTATTAAATACTGACACCAACTTCTAGCCTAAAATTACCCTTACATAAGCCTTCTGATACTTATAGAAACTGAAGCTGATATGGAAATTCATAATAATTTTATTATTAATTTAAATTCCTAGTTTACTTAAGTGTGTATCAGGGATGGGGTAATTGAAAAAAGTAATTGTAATTGACGGTAATTAATTACATTTTTTGAAGTAATTGGAAGTAATTTGTAATTGAACATTTTTTCAATTACTTGTAATTTAATTAATTACACTGAAAAAATACCATGTAATTTCAATTACTTTTTCAATTACATTCAATTACTTTATATAATACACATTCATGATATATTCATGATATATCGTCACCACTACCTCCCCATTTTACTGGTTTTTATTTTATTGTTAAACATATCCTCAATCCTTCATTTATACAAAATGCTTACAAAATAATTAAATGATTGGCTTGATAATAATAAACTAGTTTCTTTCTAATCATTATGTAAATTTTGAATTTTTTGATCTATGTTTATAAATATGAATTTTGAACCACCTATCTTAGGTCTATTCAGCTATGAAACACACATTTATTATATTTCAATCTTTGTTGTTTGATCAATAATAAAGAAAAAGAAGGCGTGTGTCATTAATTAAGTTCTCTCTTGTTGGGAAGAGATAATTGCCCTCCAGATCACAGCTTTAAATTGCAATCAAAACAAATCAACTCCTCTATAGAGATATTCATTCCATGATTTAGAAGACAAAGCCAATGAAGATAATTATATCAATTTAAAATGCTCCGCTAGCTTTAGAAAAAAAAAAACCTTTCAATTTGATAATTATTTTAACATCTTAACAGATTTTTATGAATGAATTTTCTATTTGTACAATTCTGATTTATGAAGTAAAATTGTTCAACATAAATAGCAATTTAGGATGTTCAGGTTACCTTCAAAGGAAATATTTAATTTGAGGGGTTACAGTTGCGACTCATTTCACTCTACTAAAATACTCACTTTTAATCAAATATCATAAGCCATGCAATTTGTGTACATGTAGGTTTTGTGTGGTGGAAACTGCATCAAACTGATCTCGGATAGTTCTTTAAGGAGATTCTTATTGTTTTGTAAATAAATGTTATAAAATTTAATTAAACCAGAATGATACACAATGCCTATAGCATATTATTTCTAGTACTGTTTGTGCAGAGTCTGAGCTTATATACAAATAAATGATGTTCTGTATATTCATTGACAAGGATTATAAAAATTTTCAAAAAATTAAAAATGTAATTTGTAATTTAATTAATTACTTTTGCAAAGTAATTGTAATTTAATTAATTACATGTCTTAGAAAGCCTGTAATTTAATTGTAATTTAATTGAAGAAAAAGTCAAAGTAATTGTAATTTAATTAATTACTTTTTAAAGTAATTGACCCCATCCCTGGTGTGTATCAATGGAGAGTTATTCTCAATTAAGCTAGGAGTTCAAAAAGTAATAATTTTATTTCAAGGGCAACTCACCTGAAATTTTTTTTAAAAAATCTTAAAGCATAATGCAAGGTATTTTGTTTCTATCTGCTAGATATATCTGTCCTTCTGTATTTCATTACTACGACTTTTCTCTATAGTGTTATGTAGGCATATGAATCAAAATGACTATCTCTGACATCAATACATATACACTGTAATATACATGTATGTAACACACATTACATTTTCCACAATAACTGAATTTCCTCCATTAACAGGAGACAACACCCAGTGTTATAAATTGGCAGGATTATGAGGGAAGGACAGCTCTTCATCTGGCTGTAGCAGATGGAAACGAGGCCATTGTTAGAGCACTGGTAGGATTTATCTGTATTCTCTGAATATTCCATTGTAGACCTGTACATATTTTTAGTGTAATACCATTAATTTAGTGTTTTAATCTTGATTACCTGGCATGGTTTCATGTCACCAGTATATTATGCTAATGACTATTCATTTTGATTTGTGCGATCTTTTAGACGTCAGTGGAGAACTGTAATGTGTCCGCTCTAGATAACATGTTCAGGACACCATTGCATTGGGCAGCTGTGCTAGGTAAGTTTCAAATATCACAAGTGCAATGGATCAAATTTTGAAATTTCAGTATGACATGCATAAGCCTTCATGCATAAACTCTCTTGGTAATGCCAAAAATTTATCAAATGGTATAAGAGCAAGCAAAGCAAATATTTATTAGCAGAATTCTCTTTGCACATTGTATCACTGATGATTTCTTACTTGACAGGCCATTCTGCAGTTGTTGCTCTGCTGTTGGACAATGGTGCTGAATATTCTGTGTCAGATTCGAATGGTGCCACCCCACTCCATTATGCAGCCCAGAATAATCACTATGTAAGACCTCAAAAGTAATCAACGAAAGAGCAATATTGATTTTAGAATGATTTTAAAATATTTGTAAGTCTGCATGGATAGAGAATTTTATTGTATTATTTAGACACTTTGCAAACTTACAGTGGACCTATTCACTGACGTGGTTTGAACACTTTTTTGAGAAAATATTAAATGCACTATATTGTATGACAAAAGGGGAATAACTCTTATGATGCACATTTACTCGGAATTTTTTTTTTCTTTTAGGAAACGGTTGAAGTTTTTCTTTCGTGTAAAAATGTTGTGGATGAGCCAGACATTGAGGGTCGCTCTGCATTTATATGGGCTGCTGGGAAGGGTGCAGATGAAGTCATAGGAGTCTACCTCAAACATAACGTTGATATACAACAGGTGGACAGTCATGAAGGAACAGGTGAGTCAAGTTACCCATGCTCTTTAATTACTTGCTTGGGTTAGAATTCATGTTGTGCATTTGAATAAACGAAATATATGTGTGAAATTGATAGTCCTTTAATGTGTTTTGCAGGACTAACTTTTCAATTCCTCTTGAGGCTAAAGACTGATGAATGACATTCTCTTACAATTTAATAAATTTGGTGATTTTATGAACTTTTATTAATCTTCCATAAACATTCCATGTACAAGTTAAGTATATTTTCGATTTCTTTTGTGTTTCAGCCCTTCATGCTGCTGGTTTGTCAGGTCATGCCTCGACGGTGAAACTTTTACTGGACCATGGAGCTCACATCGATGCTGTGGATCGCCTGAAGCACACTGCGTTGTTCCGAGCCTGTGAGATGGGACACACAAGTGTGGTCCAGTCACTGATTGATTACGGTGCTAGAGTTGATGTACTGGATTTCGATGGAAGGTCACCTCTTCATTGGTAGGTTTTCAATTATTTTTACTGACATGAAAGTGTGTGTAAAAGATTTTTTTTTTTTTGGATGATACTCATTTATAGACAAATGGCAATTACTTGCATCGATGATTCTTAAAAGAAATAAGTGCCACAGAATAAAATTTGAATCAAAACAATGGTGATATTCTGTTTATTTCTTCTGACATGTTAATATTTTGTTTGTTTCCTCTAACAGGGCAGCTTTAGGTGGCCATTCCTACATTTGCCAGACTCTCATTAAGTATGGTGTGGATCCAAACATCAGAGATTACTCAGGGTCGGTAGATTTCTAAGATATAATCTTATACAGCCAAACTTTGTTTTCTCTTAGGGAAAGACTCTTTAAAGATTAATTACTTTAACTGAACAAGATATCACAGATTGAGATTCTGAAGTTAATTAAACTCGTCATATATAGAGCATACACTAGCTACCAGCTTGTTCATGTAGTTGTAAATACTTTTCTTTAAAAAAAAAAAAGTCATCAGCTGAAATTAAAATCAACCAAAATAAAAATACATAAAATATTGTTAAAATGTTTTCAAGTGAAATTCCCCAAAGTGGGACTTCTGTTCTGTTCTACCTGTATGTGAATAAATATTCCACTGATTTAGAAGGAAAAATGTCTCTGCATTATTTGAGGTTAATTCATCTGTTTTGTCTACCGCAGGCGGACTCCTTTGCAGTGTGCTGCTTATGGTGGTTTTGTGAACTGTATGTCGGTTTTAATAGAACACAAGGCAGATGTCAATGCCAGGGACAGAGATGTAAGTAATGTGAAAGGATGTACTTTTCATTATAGTTATACTAAACATTAGGGTGTAAATTTCAGTGTTATACATACATGGATCTATATACGTTTACTCACTACTTATCGCAAGATCATGACAACAATTTACCAGAATGTTTTTCTTTCAATATTTCAATATATTTCAAATTTGAAAATATTGGATATGTTTCTGTTTTAATGAAAACTCAGGTAAGAAAAAAAATTCAGTGACTGCTCGTCCCAGGGAACGAGTATGAAATCATACCCACTTGTCCCCATAATGATTTTACTTGTCTCTCATAAAACTCGCCTTTTAGCCAAGTAATAACAATTAATGCTTGTTATAGATTTCTTCATCTTTTCAAACTGTGTTTCAAACTACGTTCTTCTGAGTCTAAGTCTTTTATCAAAGCTGAAAGCATTTTGACTGGATCATATAAACAGAAGAAAATTATCATGCCATAAATTTTACTCGTCACCAGGGATAAGCAGATTGTGACCATCCATTTGTCCTTGGTTGATTTTTACTTGTCCAGGATGAGTGGACAAGTGCTTTTTTCACAACATGAAACTAACATAACTTTGATTTCTTTGAGTTGCATTGATTGAAAAGTTGATAATGAAATGAACATTTACCATACAGTTGAATTATAACAACATTAACTATTTCAGGGTATGACAGCTTTACACTGGGGGTGTAGCAAAGGACATTTAGATGCTGTTAAGTTACTGATCGAGTACCAAGCTTTTCCCAACCATATGGAGATGACAGAGGACAGGTTAGTGTATCAGGCACATTGAACCACACTCAAATGTATAAGTATCAAGGCAACGGCTCGATTGATAAAAGGTCATTTTAACTCCAGTGGCCCCTTTCACAATTAAAACATCGTACAACCAAGATGAAAATTTGACACTGTAATTTTTTGTTAAATAATTTATATATAAAGCAACAAAGCATATTTTATTTTGTTAATATTTTTACAATGTAATCTAATGTTATAGAAAAATAAGATTTTTTGTGTCCTACTATGGCTAATAAGTACTTGTTAGAATGAGATAATTTTTGTCTTAGTTGTAAGATTTTTTGTGAAAAGGGCCACAGGCTTATGATGCATGGTATGTAAAACGGCACTACTTAACATGATATTTTACCAATCTATCCAGGGATGGGATACTTGAACAAAAAGTATCGGAGTAATTAAAAACTTTTCTCCAGCGTTGCTGTAATGTTTTCGTCAGTTCTTTTTCTCCAGACATATTGCTTGAATCTTGAATGTGTCTGTTGCTTTCTTTTTTCTCTTGGTGTATTGCTGAGATACAATATCCAGTACTTGTATCAAGATTTATTTTCTTGGTAGGTACTGCTACACTTGATACAAACTGCTTTGTAGCAAAAAATACTTCTAAAAATTGTTTGATTTGCGTAAATCGTTTGTATTACTTCTCAGCATTTTCTTGTCTTGGAGGCCAGTACATACATGTATGCTTTCTATTGTACACAATTATTTTCTCATACATCATGGTTGCAGTGCAAAGCTGCAGAATATCAAGACAATTATTATGCATATAAAACCAAGAGAGACAACTCTTGAATTTTTCACTAATTTTACACTTGGCAACGTTGAAGCTTATGCAATGTGCTTATATTATGCCAAGGAAAGTACAGATGTAAATCTGCAGGGCATTCAGTATGCTATAGTCATCTGTCTCTCCTCTGTTCATAACCCAGCACATAATTAATGATTATTAAAAAAAATGGATAATATATTTCATCATACATACACTTTTTAATGCAGATCTACATGTACATCATATACAAATTGTGCACGAGAGCAATTTGTTGAAAATTTTGTGACAGTTACCTTCCCTGTGGTTTTGAACTTTTTTCCGATATTTCTCATTTAGCTCTTTTTCTTTATCACAGGTATTCTTCAAATTCAATTCATACAACTTTTTCATACACAGATGCATCTTAGTGAGAGCATCTCAACCATATCAGGGTTCTATGACCTTCCTTATGACTTTATATAAACTGACCTTTGATTATTTTGCTCTTATTTCATTTACAATGTATATATTTAGAATATTTTGAAGGATTACCTCATTATTTTTTGCTGGGAATATTTCAGTATTTTTCATGTTCATCTTTCCAGTGACCTTTACTCTTATTTCTAGATATTGATGTAGCTCAGTGAAGTATACTATTCATATCTTACAGCATGTTACAGTAAAATTTCATTTTTAATTACACAAGCTAATTCATCACAATGTCCTAAATTACTTAGGAATTTAATCCAACATGCGTTCATTGAAAACCTTCCATTTCTATTTTCTTCCTGGGTCCCACTGCTAAACAAATACTTTGTTGTAAAATTCAAAAATATTTGTTCAGAAAAGAGATTTGGCAGCAGTTATTATTTCACTGCAAGTTATCTTGACGCAATTAATGATTAACATATAAGTGCCAGTTTTGACCAAAGTCAAATTGAAATTTTGTTTACGTTTGAAAATTTCAATAGCTTCTTACATGAGTTTATGCAAATATCATTTAGAAATGGACAAATATTGGTATTTAACTGTATTTGCCTTTACTAATTTAATCAAGAAATAATAACTCAACAATTCATATTTCATTGATACAGAGTGATTGGTTTCAACAGACTGCAAACAATGTTTTTTTTAAGCATACAATTTGAATGCAGAATGATTTTCAATTTAATTGCAGCAATGTGAAGTGGAAATTGAATTTAAAATATTTTTAAAGCGACATTGACTGCATGAGTAGGATTTTTTCCCCCTGTATTTCTCTGAGACCATAAAGACGTTTTCAGAGGCAATATAATATAGCAAGTTATACCTGAGATGTATCTTGTAATTGCTCTTCATTGTAATGAAGTACAAAATGTACAAGTAAACTTCCTGTTACATGCATAATTTTTGCCAAAAGTGAGCTTTTCTGAAACAGATTACCTTGTGACTATCACTTTGTCTTAGTATCTTGTTGAAACTCAAATTTCAACCTGTTCTCCAAATACTGTAGATCACTTAATTTTCATGACATGTTATTTTTGGGAGAGTGTTACTTGGTATTTAAAATTTCTGTGAGAAGACAGTCTCACATAATTTTGCAAAAATAAAGTTCTAGCTAACAAATAAAAAAAAGTGATTTACAGTACTGTAGTATTTTGCCAAACTTGATCATTGAACAAATTAAGTATTAAAGAAGGAAGGAAGAAGATTTTATTCATAAAGGATCACAAAGGGGAGACCACACTGTTTTGTTAAAACAGAAAATTTTTGCAATGATTTCATTAAAAACCCAAAAAGAAGATGAGATTAGAAAAATTCTACACAAAGTTTCTATACATAGTTTAACACTGCATGGTGGGACTGTCAAAATACTTCCACATATTAAAGTGTTAGAGAAATTATAGAGATATATACAGTTAAACTTTGCTATCTCGAACACCAGTATCTAGAATACCAGGAACATGTCAAAGTGAGTTGGAGGTCCCAACCACTTTTTATCCCCCACTTTCACTGAAAGTGGTGGATATTAATTTGGATCTGTCTGTCTGTCCATCTGTCAGTCAGTCCATCTGTCTGTCTCTATGTCTGTCGGCGTGTAACATATTTTATCCAGAAGATATCTCAAGCCTTTGAGTTTTTGCAATGAAATTTTATACCACAACTCCCTATGACCTAAAGAAAACCTCTATTGATTTTGAGGTCAAAAGGTCAAAGTTCAAGGTCATAAATTCATAAAATCTGTTTGTGTAACACTTTCATTTCCAGATGATATATGTGTGTGCTTTAATGTAAAGTCTAACTGCTTCAATGTTTTAGGTACACACCCCTGGATTATGCTTTGATGGGAGAGCACCATGATGTAGCGCAGTACATGCTGGAGCAGGGGGCGCTGTCTATTACGGGTATTCAGGATCTAGCTGCCCTCAGTATCCAGGTAAGCAATCAGTCAATAATAATCATGATATTCTGAATTTCATGGTGTGTATTATCATATTATCTCTGGAAAGCCAAGTTATGTGATTTGTCTATGCATTGTTTACCTTCATTCAAGGATATTATATTCTTGAAGCAGAGATTACTCTCAATTATAGAGAATCTTCGTATCAGTAAGTGGCTACCTCATGACAAGCCAGAATGCATTATTTCTATGGTTTACTAAGAGTGCAGTTTGGGTACTGGATAACTTATTTTTGCTACTTTTGAAACAAGTACATAACATATTAACTGATGAATTTTGCAGAAAGTGTTCAGAGGCTATAGAATCAGGAAGACTTTTTCAGAAAGGAAAAAACTGCTGATGAAACATGACCAGCTTCGAAAAGAGGCTGCAAGGTAGGCAGAACTGGCCAATGTTTGAAATCTGAAATTTTGTTTTCAAATTGATTCCAAATGCAAATACTTTATCAAAATTAGCATAAATTGTATAGGTTGTATGCTAATGTGTTTCTTCAGGACCATATTATCTTTCCAACACAGCAGATTATTGTTAAATATTTCTCCAGTTTTAATGTGATATTAAAATTTTATATATTAATTCATCAAAGGAGAATTTATTAATTAAATGTATTGTAGGAAGAGGGCTGTGGAAGAAACAAGAAAGAAAGAAGACAAAAAACACAAAGAGGAAGTCAATAATCGCCAAAATATTGTGTTCAAAGAAATGAGTCTGGTCGAACAAGAACCTCCTCCAACAGTCAAACAGGAAGAGGTTTTACAGGAAGAGGAAGTGCCAAAGATAAAGGAAAAGAAGGAATCTAAACAGAAGAAAAAGTGAGTACAGTTCAATCAGGAACTACAAATATTTAATCAAATAGTTTCAAATCTCATATGAAAATATTTAAAGAAAGATTTCAGGAAAATTTGTGATAAACTGCTGTTTCATAGATGAATTACATTACTACTTGTAATATACATGGACTGTATGATTTTTAAAAACACTATGAATTGTAGTTAAGGTTTTCCTATCAAAATATATATTTAATAAAAACTTCAGATACCCTGTATTATCATATGCCCACATTAATCTTTAAAGACAGTTGGACATATAGTATGTGCATATTCTCACCTAATTTTGAGGACTTCTGTTAATGAAATACATGTATTATTGTTATATACACATGTAGGTGAGCCTTTAAATTATAGGTATATCAATTTGCTGCAAAGGCTTGAAATGTTCAAATTGCTAAGACTGAAAACAGAGACTTATATTCCAATCTAGGAATCATGTATGCAATAAGATTTATATCAGGGAATGATTGTCACTTTCTGGATGCTGAATATTCCTTATAAACAAGCTAGTTCTTAATTATAACAGTTTACCATTAAAATAATGAGAAAATAGTATAAAACTGATGTAATTCACTTCCTTATATCTGAGTTATTTATAATCAAATACTACAATATAAAACATAAATATATTACCTCTGATTTTGGAAAGCTTTCATGGGAGTTACATTTGTAACTGGAAGCTATATTCATTGTCCAATATCTGAAAAATATCAGGTTGAATAATATATATTGATCCTAAAGGGTTTCCAAATTCAACAGAAAAGATATCAGTTGGAAAACATATTAACCTGCTTTCAAATTGATTTTGTTCTTTAGTATCACTGTATATTGATATTTTTCATTCTTTTGATATGCAGAAACTATATACATGTGTATATTTATTATATACCCAACTGTTTGTCACTCAGTTTACTGTTGAATTTGTGCATTCAGGTGACGGTGTGATCCGATGTTCCGGATCACCACACTAAGGTTTTTTGAATCCATATCACCCCTCTCTGAAACTGATGACATAGTACACAGATAAATGACGTTTTTATTCTCTTGCATCAAAAAGTTCCTTGACAAATGGTTTGTTTAATACATAAAAGTTATGTAATTGATCTGAAAAGTTTCATTTTATTATATTTTGCTAGTTGTAAAGGGGTATATAATAAATTTACCATTATAACAGTAACTTGATTCGAAGAGCCGTACGTACATGTATCACGTCTTGTTGACAGGCCCGGAGCATCAGATCCGCGCCTGTCATCTTGATGTGATATGGCTCTTCGGATCAAGTTACTGTTATAATAATATATATATCAACCTTTCAGTCCATTATTTTGTGTGATTTCTTTTTTAATTTTGTGTGTGGTATACAGTTGAACCTCATGAATCTGAATGCTTGCATTCTTAAGCAAATTGTCCAGGTTAATGAATTATCTGGATAACTGAAAGGTACCTGGTAGGCATAAATGTAAATT